TTTACTTAGATGTTTGTTCAACCCTTGTTGTGTCCACTAGTGGTTACAGATATTATGTAATATTTCTTGATGACTATATCAATTTTACCTAGTTATTCTTGATGCACAATAAGTCCGATGTATTTGATATTTTTCTTAAATTTAAGAAGCATGTAAAAGTATTGTTTAAGAAAAAAATTAAGTGTTTACTATTCGACCAGGGAGGAGAATAAAAATGGGTATCATCGTTTTTGGCTGAGCACAGTATCACACACCACCTTGCCTGCCCGCACACTTATGAATAGAATGGTGCCACCAAAAGAAAACATTGCTACATCATTGAGTCTACCATGTCTCTACTAGTGTCCTCAGCTATCCCCTTCACTTTCTGGATGATGCAACCTCTACAATTATTCATTTGATTAGTCGGGTTCCTACTACGGTGTTGTAAGGTCAATCTCTCTTTGAAACACTATTCAGCACCACACCTGATTACACGGTGCTTTACACCTTTGGTTGTGCCTGCTATCCCCAACTTCAGTCATACAATCACAAAAAGTTCTCTTTCCAGTTGTTTCGTTGCATATTCATCGGTTACAATGATTCTTACAAAGGATATAAATGTTTTCACCCTCCCCCTAGTTGGCTTTATATTGCTCATCACATCAATTTCGATGAGAGCTGCTTTCTGAGTATTCTTGCCTCTTCTCCGTCTTCCAAAAGGCAAACATCATACAGTGGTTACTATTTCTATACCACTGGTCTTCTCTTCTCTAATTCCTTGTTCAACGACGCCCATGAACTCTCCACAATATGCCGACCGACCCTATCTACTTGCTTGACCTCGTCCTTGGCTATTGTGTCTCCACCTACCGACAACGTTATTTCTGGTGATGTTCCTTCTCCTACTCTGCGTGGCACTCAACTTGTACAAGAGTTGCTTGATGCTACTCAACCAGTCTCGACACCCTCTACCCATACTCATACTATGCTAACCTATTCCCTCACGGGCTCTCTACCGACTCAATCTCATACAACAATTTGCTACCCTATTATGAAGGCTCTACTCACTACTCGTCATGATGATCTTCACAAGCCTAGTTGTTTTTCTAAAGCTATTAAAGAACCATGCTAGCGTGAGGTGATGTTTCGAGAGTTTAATATGCTCTTGTTCTTAATGACATGTGGACTTTAGTACCCTATCAACCTCATATGCATGTCGTTGGTACAAAATGGGTGTACAAACTAAAACGGCGGGTTGATGGGTCTGTTAGCGATGTAAAACATGATTGGTTGCTCGAGGGTTTAGTCAAGTTTTAGGGGTTGATTTCACAAATACCTTTAGTCTGGTAGTAAAGTCGGTCACCATTTGTACTATTCTTGCCCTCTCCACTACTCTAGGTTGGCCCCTTTGGTAGTTGGATTTCAACAATGCTTTTCTCAATGGTTATGTCTCTAAGGATAGTTATGTTCGTCAATCGAAAGGTTTCAAGGACCCAACTACCCCTCATCATGTTTGTAAACTCACTAAAGCATTGTACGACCTCCATTAGGTTCCCCGAGCATGGTAAACTCGTCTTAGCTCTCGTCTCCTTCTAATGGCTCCTCACAATCTGTGCTTGATGATATTGTTTCTACTTTAGGCTGGACCTTCTCCTTGAAAGATTTTGGTCCAACACACTATTTCCTTAGCATGGAGATTATGGCTCAACCTCATGGGATTGTCCTAACTCAACAGTGGTACAACTTAGATCTCCTGAAGCGTGCTAACATGGCTGCGGACAATCTAAACTCTCAAGGTTTATTGGTGACTCTCTCTCAGATTCTTCGGAGTATCGAAGTATCATTGGTGTGCTCCAGTATCTTACTATTACATGGCTGGACATCTTATTCTCCATCAACAAAGTTTGTCAGTTTCTTCACTTTCCAACAACGGAATACTAGGCCATTGTGAAATGGATCTTATGGTACATCAAGCACACAACCAAACATGGACTCCATTTCTACTCCACTTCAGCTCCTCTCACTCTTCAGGCTTTATCTGGTGCTGATTGGGATGGTTGCCCCGATGATCGGCGTTCCATTGGTGGTTATCTCATTTATTTAGGACAAAACTTGGTTGCCTGGAGCTCTAAGAAGCAGTCCACCATCGCTCGTTCTAGTACTGAATCTAAATTTCGGGCTTGTGCTAATGATGCCATGGAATTGCTTTGGGTTCGTTCTTTATTACAAGATTTTGGCCAGTCATTGACTCATATGCCGGTTATTTGGTGTGACAACATTGGAGTAACATATATTGCAGCCAGTCCTGCCTTCCGTGCTCGTACGAGACACATTTAGGTCAACTTCCATACTCAAACGATCTTTTCATATTCTCCGGTGATCAGGTTGCGGATCTTCTCACCAAACCGATCAGCAGTACTTGCTTTGTTTCTCTTATGTCCAAGCTTCATGTCCTTCCCGGACATTTCACTTGAGGGGGCGTATTAGAGCATGTTTCAGATAGATTCCGCAATAGATCTGGGATCTCTCTTCACCCTCTCTTATCTCTACTTATTTCTTATCTGTACTTTATCTCCTAACTTATAGTTATCATTGTTATTATCCAACTCAAACTCCTAAGTGTTGTATTGTAACCAAACTGTAATCAATTGATCACTATAAATACACAAGGGTTTGATCATTTAACCCATCGAATCATTCTTCAATATTACTGTGCTATTTGTTTAACTAAGCCAGATGTCGTTACCACTTTGTTTCTTCTATTGGCCACTGTCTGCGGCTTCCACAATAGATTGGTCTAGCGTGAGTGTTACACTAACCATGCCCAAGTAGGGTTCATTTCATCTCTTCCGTATTTTTGTTTTCTTCATATCGTCCTAAAACTCTCCGAATATTGTATTCAGTATATAGTTGTGCATGTATGCATATTGTAGACTCTTCTGAATATTGTAATTGATAAGTTTGTATGTCTAAGATTAAATAGGATGTTGTGTTCTATTAATCCTTGTGATGACTAAATTCCATTGTTACTTATGTTCTGAACTTGCAGGAGAACTGTCAGCTACTTAAGACAAAGCTGATGTTGCTTCAATCAATGGTGACTTTATGTTCTTAAACCGATGCCCAGAATATGAGAGAAATCAAAGGAAACTCAATCAAAATATAAGCTGAAAATTCAAGTATTAAATTGTCACGTTTTAAAGTTTAGGGACCAAAGTGACATTAGACCCAAAGTACAAGATACTAATTCAAGGTGGGGCTATGGCAATAGGCAATGGGATGGGTTAGGAATGGCAATGGAGCAGGTTCAGGGCGGGGGTCATATTCCTTGTCCTCGACCCTAACTCTGAAATTAACTCCCATTCCCGTCCTCGATCCCTATCAGGGATAAAATTTGTCCTCCATCCTTGATTCTTGGCGGGAATGGATTCCCTACGGAGACCTGGATCCCCGACTTTTTTAAATAGTAGTATTTTTTTTGAAAAATAAATTTTACTTAAAATAAATAAAAATTTTAAATTATAAAAATATTTAAATATATTTTGATATATATATATATAATATAAATAATATAATAATATATATTTAATATAAATAACATTTTAAAAAAATCTATAAAATAAACAGAAATTTGATCAATCAAAACCACCCATAAATTTTGATAAATAATATCATATCTTTTTCGGGGTCGGGGTGGGCGGAGAAGTCGGCCCCGGATTCCAATGTTTTCAAATTGCCATCCCTGTGCATCCTAAATGTTTTCACATTTCGGTGAGGTCGCAGCACGTTGAATACAATTCTGATTCCAATCAGTCGGTACGTGATAAAACCATCAGATTGTCTCGATTTCAGATAATATCCTCCACTTGCGTGTCCTAAGTTCCAACGAGACAACTCTTTACGGTTGCAAGAATCTGCAGTTGTCCACGCGTCGAGCTATTAACATTTCAAAACACTGATCCTAAGATTGCCACGACGCAATATGCTGACCAGTCACAGTCTTTCTCCATCTGCCTATCAACAATGACCAAAACAGTTTCCTCTCCTGTTATAATTTTCCTTGAGGCAGAAAAAAAAAGCTAACAAAAAAAAAAAAAAAAAAGAAATATCCGAGCTTTGCACGCTGACGCTGGTGAAGGTTAGACCAAGTGGCATAACAGCGTAGAATCTGGATCTGCTCACAACAAAAAAACTGTCCCAACACTTTTCAACTTAATCTGTATCCGCACATCGCATACATGATGGGTTTCGTTCGTCCCAAATTCATCGTGAGTGGTGTGGACACTGGACACAGATGTGTTGGAATTGTGTGGAAGAGTTTTTATTGTGAGCAGATCCCATCCCAACAGTGTAACGTACGCGCAGTGACCGAACAACTGAATGGTGATAGTGGAAGACCATGATCATGTTTGTCGTTTACCCAAACACTGTAGAAAATTTGTTAATCCGGTATGGATTATGGACTCTCCTCACTTCTTCTCCAATCAAACTCTCGTTGTATCGAATTCTGCTTCTTCTTCAGTGTTCCATTATAAGCTTCGACATTGCTTGCCGAACCTTATTATACATCGAATGCTCTGATTTTCAGAGATCGAATAGGTGAAGTTTACCAGAAGCGTTGGATGAATCATTTATCTGTTTCGGTGTTTAAATTTAGAATAATTTCCTTTGAAACCATAATTTTCTTGGGAAAAATCTTTATGTGGCATGATCTGATTTTTTTTTTCTTTTCAATTTCTAAGTGTTTTAACTGCTCTTTGATTGTTTTTATTGATTGAGATTCGAATTATTTTGAGTGTTTTGAACATATCTGTGTTTAGTTGAATCTTCTGAACTTCAGAGGTTTCAAAAGCGCACATACTTTTGCAATAAAAGTTCCACTTAATTGAAGGATGACTCCCTTAATCAGATTTCTAACTTGTTCTGTCTTTTTATTATTAAAAATGCTTGCCGCGTTAATGAATAATAACAATTTTCTGTATTAGATAGGCCGCATATCAGTTCAACCTCAAAATATAAAAGTTGTATTACTGTACTTGCAAATTTATCCTCTGTTTTAGCTAAGTATATGAAAAATAAAAAAATTAAAGTTTACTGCCATACTCTGTATTCATAGATAGAGGAGTTTGATACTATAATACTGACATACGTTAATTTTTCGTGTGTTTTCTTGATTATTTGAGATTCTTGACCGACTTTAATCAAAGATGCATTTCAGTCGTTGAATATTTTAATTTTTTATTGCTGAGCAAACTTTCTGAATCTTGGTGGACAGAAGAATCCTTACAAGAACACATTGATGTGTGGTTCTGTCTTTGTTGTTGGATTTACTGGCTGAATCTTTAGATCGAAGTATCTACCTATTAGACTTTTCTTCTTGCCTTCTAAAGTAAAATTAGAAGGCTGCATTACTGGCTTCTGATTTTCTCTCATGATTTTGATGTCCAAATTTCCTATCTTAGTTTTATATTCTTCTTCTGTTTTTTTACAGGTTTTTTGAGATTTAATGGCGGCAATACTGGCTTCTCATGGCTGTTATTGCCGCGACCTTCAGTTTATGGATCATGGAAAGGCAGCAGACTGTCTCAGTTTCTCAGGATCAATTTCTAGTGATAAATTCCAAAATGTTGCGAGGCAAGAATATGGACTCCCTGCAGCTAATAGGTTCTTAAGGTTTCAAGTTAATGTGCGGCAAACGGAATCATCAGAGAAGTTGGGTACAAATGGGCGAGCTGCTAAAATGGTATCAACGAAGGAAGTGATGAGAAGCAAAAGCTCTTCTATAAATATGGGAGAGAGAGTGAATGGTTCGAAGCAAGTTGTTAATGGATACGGAGCAAGCCTGGTTAAAAGAAACACTGTTCCAGCTCTAGTTACACCGAAAATCAAAGACTCTAAAGATCTTCCATTTACAGAGGAGCTGAAAGTTCTAACCTCAGATGAAGGTTTCAGTTGGGCGAATGATAACTATAATTCCTTGCAAAGGACTATAGACGTGTGGTCCTTCGTTCTTTCCCTTCGTGTCCGTATTCTTTTCGACAGTGAAAAATGGGCATATCTTGGAGGCTTCACAGAAGATAAGCAAGTGAGTTTTGTTATTCCAGTATAGCTGTTCTCTTGTCCAAACTCCCTTCTGCCACTATGAATTTGCTTAATATCGGAATGCATCGTATGCTCGTCATTTTTTTCCTCCTTCTTGAAGGCCCACTTATACACATCAAAACATAATAAAGAAGTACTAACTTAAGCATAAGCTCTTTTGTCACCCAGAAAAATAGAAGGCAAAAAACTGCTTCATGGTTGCGGGAAAAGGTACTGCAACTTGGGCCAACTTTTATTAAACTTGGACAGTTATCCTCAACAAGGTCTGATCTTTTTCCGCGGGAGTATGTTGATGAGCTTGCTAAGTTACAGGTATCCTTCTCGGTTATTGATATCTATACCGGTAATGCCTGAGATACCTTGCTTCTCAACCGTTATATGATTCCTATCTCATATAATGCAGGATAGAGTCCCCGCATTTTCGCCCAAGAAAGCAAGAGATTTCATAGAAAAAGAATTGGGAGCTCCAATCGATTTATTATTCAAGGAATTTGAAGATCGGCCAATTGCTGCAGCTAGTCTTGGTCAGGTGTTTGCTCCATTTTAAGTATCACATATCTCTATTTGTTCTAACATCAAAGTTAATGGGAAAATTTTTATTACATCATACGTAGCCCTAGAAAATAATATCTCCCCTCTTTTAGTTTGAAGATAAGGCTTAACTCAGTTGTTCAGCTAGTTGACAACTAGAGGTTTTTGTTGATGGCAACCTCTTTCCGGCCTTTGTTTGCCAGCCTGCAGATGTAAATCCCCTCTAACCCTCCCACCAAAATAAACACAACAAAAGAAATTCAGAGATAAAGAAGGATTAATATTTATAGAGTTATTTAGGGATTCTCTTAGCACTTTAGCAGAACAACTCTGCAGGGCATATGGGATGGGATCTGTGCCTGTGGGTCAGTTGGTTAATGTACTTCTCTGCAACCAGACCAAGTTTTAAATCCAGTTGTTCACATTTATAAATAATTGAATAAAATAAAAAGAATTAGAATGCATGTATTAAGCTCAGGAGTCACATGTCATTTCCTATCAGAAAATGCAGTAACTGAGGTTAAAAAGAAATAAAAGAGAAAGATATGACAACAAGAGGAAATAAATTTTAAAGGCGATTGCATGCTAAAAAATGAAATGACTCTTGTAAAAACATCTAAGGTGAATAATAATGGTACAAGACTATTGCTCTTTACCTCTGCTTTTTTTTAACTAGCTGTGTCATTGTTTATATAATGAGATTCTTCTCCCTTGGCTGACTTTGAATTTGAGGATTATTTCCTTTAGGTACATCGTGCTGTTCTGCATAATGGAGAGAAAATAGTTGTGAAAGTCCAAAGGCCTGGCCTGAAGAAACTTTTTGACATCGATTTACGTGAGTAATGATTATTCTTGACATGTTCACATTTCCTTATTAACCTTTCATTAAGAGTGCATGCAAAATATTCTCTTTTTAACTGTTCAACATTCAGGATTTGCGCCCTACGTTTTTATTTTGACTTAAAAAACTTCTAGTTTTACATTTCTAAAAGCTGCATTTTATGCCACCACATACTCATTTAACATATCTTATTTGCATAATATTTCTTTACTATTTCATCTTGGGTCCTGATTAAATAGGATTTTCCCTTTTATCTAAGGCTGCATTTAGATGAGAGGGGCCAATCCACAATCTCTAGTATCAATTGGGTCCATTTCTGTGGTGGAGCTGAATTCAGCAAAACATGGAATTTTAGCCATTGCATTAGTTATTTCCAAAAGCAAGACATAGGGGTTGTCCCAGATCCTCTGGAATTGGTATGATCTTCTTCTATCTGTTGTCCTATGAATCTCACCGTGACAATGCCTTGCCCATTGAATCATGGCTATTTCTCAGTGTTTTTAAAAGGCATGGGGGGCATATGCCTGCAAGGTGCCTCCAAAACACCCTGAGGTGTATGCCAGAGGCGATGATACCTCTGAGGTGTACGGCTCATACTCTTTGTATGAGGCATGCTAGAGGCATACACCTCACGCACCTCACACACAGATCATACAAAAAGACAAAAAAAAAACAAAGAAAAAAGAAAGGAAAAAGAAAGTAAATGAAAGGAATGGAAAGGGAAGGGAAGGGAAATAAAAAGAAAGAAAGAAAGAGAAGGAAAAAAGAGAAAAGAAAGAAATGAAAAGGGATGGGAAGGGAAGGAAAGAGAAGGAAAGAGAAGGGGAAAGAAAGTTTCAGTGAGTGTTATGCATCTTCGTTCTTCTTAATATAACATATTTTTATTAAAAATAAGGATTAATGAGATCCTCCTCCTTCCTCCTCGGTCTCCTTCCTTCTCATCCCCCTCCTCTTAAGGAGGCTTATGCCTCTTATGTTCTAAAATACGCCTCACGCTTCCAAGTACTGGAATGCCTCGCGTCATGCCTCCATGTTTTAAAACATTGCTATTGCTGATTGTGATGCTTGTTAGGTGTTAACAATTAACACATAAACCTGGTTGAAGGACAGATATTTCATGTCTGACATGGATCAATGAGCTTATCTTTGGTTTTGTCAGTTTGATTATCTTAATTAATGGTTCTCTTTTTTTTTCAGGAAATTTGAAGCTAATTGCTGAGTATTTTCAAAGAAGTGAGACCTTCGGAGGTCCCACACGAGATTGGATTGGTATATATGAAGAATGTGCTACGTAAGTAAAAATCAAAAACAAAAAAAGCCATGTTCTGGATATTTGTTTTGCTATTTGGAACAACATGTTGAATAAGATCTATCATTTAGTTTTTCAATATACTAATTTATTACGATCATTTTCAGGTTTACTTCTATGGTGAAATTTTTAGGATAAATCATATGATCTAAGAAACTTTCTTTTTATATGTTTAAGTTTGAGAGCATAGGAATTACTCTGTATGGCAATATGTGATGCTTCTGACATGAGCTATTGACCTGTAGAGATAGTACATATACATTTGAAACCTCCTTTAGGCAGTGTTTGGTTTGAATGGAAAGGTAGGAAAACCTATACAAATACCTTTCCCTGCCTTTTCCTTCAAACCAAACACAACTTTAGTGACGGGAAAATTAAGGTGTATGTATATGTCTTCGAAAATTAATTTTCTCTTGCTGTTCTAATTCATTATCCAATTTTTTTCATTCTTCTCAATTGCAGGATTTTGTATCAGGAAATTGATTACATAAATGAAGGAAAAAATGCTGATCGATTCCGCCGGGATTTTCGAAATGTTAAGTGGGTCCGCGTACCTGTATGTTTCTTGTGACAAGACTAGCAATGCTTATTCAATTTTTAGTTATTAATTTTTGTCTGCTAACCTATTGGGGATTATAACGCCACAGGAATACTTGACTTGGTAGTGAATGAAAAGCTACTTTTCAACTAGATTTTTATCATTATAGAAGGCTTACACTTTTTTCTTTTTTCTTGTTTTTTTTCCTGGTAGTTGGTATTCTGGGATTATACTGCCACAAAAGTGTTGACACTGGAGTATGTTCCAGGTTTCAATCTATAACATATTACATGTTTTATGTGGTTCAAGTTGATATTGGTTATTAACTTATTGTAGATTTATAGTTTTAGTTTAAAATGTAAGAAGATTGATGTTTGGTTGATACTTTACTTTCGTGAGCAGGTGTCAAGATCAACAAATTGGATATGATAGATGCAAGGGGCTATGATCGTTCTCAAATTTCTTCACGAGCAATTGAGTCATACTTGATTCAGGTTAAGAACCATTACATGTGATGTGAAAAGACGAGATTGATTCAAACTAAACACAACTTAATAAAGCCTTAGCCATTTTGGAGTTGGGCATACAAATCCTGAGTTGCCATTCTGTTCTATAAGTCATATCCTCTATTGGATTGTGAATTCCTCAGTTTTTTTCCTCGTGACTTCCACCTATGTCCTTTCCGGCCTTCCTTTAGCTCTTTTATCAATCTCAACTTGCATTCAGTCATGCCTCATAAATGTAGCATGTCTTCCTCCACACATGCCACACCATTTTTGTTTACTTTCCCTCATTTTATCACCTATTGGGGAAAATCCTAGGTTTCCTTGGTTGCACCCACTTGTAGTTCTATCTTTTCAAGTATTGCCATCGATTTGCTTCAATATCCCCACTACTATACTCTAGACCTGTCCATGGGCCGGGCCAGGCTGTGCTTTTTCTCTTTATAAACAAAAAATGACCAAGCCTGAGCCTGAGTCCTATATAAAGCCCGAAGCCCAATCTAGACAAATATTTTATAATATATTAATTATAATAATAAATTATATATTATATAATATTCTATATATTATAATACATATAATACTTTTTTTCACTATTAATTTTATTCTTATAACTTGAGAATAGTTTATCTTCTGATGTGAATCCAATAAGAAAAAGAAGAAAGAAGCAGAGAATAGACGAGAAGAAGAGAGAGAAGAGAAGAAGAAGAAGAAGAAGAAGAAGAGAGAATGAGAAAAGAGTGGTTAGGCTAGACTTTCCTTGCCGCCCACTCATCTATTTATATGTTTGCAATTTAAAACATTAGTGGTCCCAGTAATGCCCCTTCCGCCTACATAAGAAAAGAAAAAGAAAACTAAACTGCCATAACTAACATAAATAACCTAAAACAAAGGCAAATATGAAGTGGGACCACACTAATAATTACTGTTCTACATCTCTACATCCTCCCCCTCAAGTTGGAAATAGATATTAGTCATTCCCAACTTGCGTAAATCTATTTCCAACTTGATCTTTGTAATTGCCTTAGTGAAGAGGTCAACAAGTTGCATATCAAAGGCGATATATGGAAGACACACTCCTTGAGAAGCAACTCTCTCTCTCTTTAATAAAATGTTGATCCATTTCAATATGTATAGTTCTGTCATGCTGTATCGGATTATGAGCAATGTTAATGGTGGCTTGATTATCACAATACAACATCAAGTGCTTCTCATAAGCAATACCCAACTCCTCAAATAAGGATCTCAACCATAACACTTCAGCTATACCGTTAGCCAGGATCTATACTCAACTTCAACACCGGAACAAGTAATAACATTTTGTTTCTTACTTCTCCAAGAAACAATATTTCCCTCTACAAAATCACAATATTCAAAGGTAGATCCCCGATCATCAACACACCCAGCCCAATCAACATATGTGTATACTTCTATCTTCATGTGACCATTATTTTTGAAGAGTATGCCTCTGTCTGGACATCTCTTCAAGTATGCAAGTATCTTCTCAACTATAAGAGGCGAGTGGTTCTGAGGGAATGCATATACTAACAACGCTAACAACATAAGAAATGTCTAGTCATATTAGACAAAGATAGAGGAGTTTCCCAACCAATTGTTAAAACATAACTTTGTCTTCAAGGGACTCTCCACCTTCTGCTCTTATCTTATGATTCTATTCAATAGGTGTTTCAGCAGGTTCAATTCCTAACTTCCCAGTTTCTTCCAAAAGTTTAGGAACATACTTTCTGTGGGAGACAAAATGCTATGTTTAGACCGAGCTACCTCAATGCCCAAGAAATAATGTAGTTCTCCCAAGTCTTTCACTTCAAACTCTTGGTGAAGTAGTTGCTTAATAGAGTCAACCTCATTAATACCACTCCCTGTTGCCATAATATCATCCACATATACAACAAGTAGAGTCAAGGAGTCCATTTTCTTAATGAAAAGCGCATGATCTGATTGGGCTTGCATATAGTCAAATTTTTCCAAAGTCCATCTAAATCTATAAAAGTAGGCTCTTGGAGATTGTTTTAGTCCATATAAAACCTTCTTCATCTGGCACACCTTCTTCCCTACTTATGTACTTAGAATCTAGGAGGTAACTCCATGTACACCTCCTTTTGTAGATCACCATTGACTCATTGAGGAAGGCATTCTTAACATCCATCTGGAATAGTGGCCATGGGAAATTTGCTAAAATAGACAGTAAGACTTTGATAGTGTTCATCTTGGTTACTGGTGCAAAAGTCTCCAAATAATCTATGCCATAAGTTTGTGTAACTGTGCAACCAATTTGGCCTTATATCTCTCAATAGAGCCATCAACATTGTGTTTTACTATAAACACCCAACCAGTTTCTTCCCTTTAGGTTGGTCAACTAACTCCAATATATTGTTTTTAATGAAAGCATCCATTTCGACTTTCATTGCATCTTTTCACTCAGGTACCAATAAGGCTTCCTGCATTGTTTTAGGAGTAGAAATAGCAGCAATAGATGCCAAAAAAGACTTATAGGATGGTGAAAGATGACCATAAGAAAGGACCTGGGAAATACAATTAGTAGTAGATGAAGTACAACGGAGCTTCCCTTTGCGTCTTTAACTCATTTCCAGCCATCTCCATTAAACTACCAAGAAGTCTCAATTTTCAAGAAGAAACCACAGAGTACAGCCTTTTCTTTGCTGAAAACAATGTAACAGTCACTCAGAAATTACTAACAATCAAGATTAACCAATATGAGATCTTTAACAGTCAAGATAATAAGCCTGAAATCAGAGAACCGATCGTAGGGTTAGGAAAACCCTAGAAAAAATTCTGAGTAAACAGAAATCTATCAGCCACTCCTTCCAGGTAAAACAAAGACAAAGAAGAGAAGAGAAGAGAGAGAAGAGAAGGAGAAGAGAGAATGAGAAAAGAGTGCAGTTAGGCTAGACTTGCCGCCCCACACATCTATTTATATGTTTGCAATTTAAAACATTAGTGTAGTTCCACTAATGCCCCTGCTGCCTACGTAAGAAAAGAAAAAGAAAAGTAAACTGCCATAACTAACATAAAACAAAGACAAACATGAAGTCGAACCACACTAATAATTACTGCTCTACATCTCTACATTTTATGATATATATTATATAGTATTTATATTTTTTATTTTTTATTATATAATATTATTGGGATGAGCTTATTTGGGAAAGCCTGAGCCCAGCCCAAAAAATAGTAGGGCATGGTGTTTAGAGCCCGTGGGCTTAAAACTTTGTCCAAGCCTGATATAGAACAGGAAGGGCCAGGCTAGCCCATCAAACTACCTGGCCCATGACCAGGTCTACTACACTCATCTTATGGATGTCTTGCTTCTTGATTGTGTCATACTCTCCTTCGTACTACTTACTGCATTATTAGCATTGTTGTTGTCTCATGGAACTTCAATTTCAACCTAAGTGGCATGCACTTCATCCATCCCAATCTAATTTTTTGACTAAAATTCTTAGGTCCCTCCATCACTATGGATTATTGAATCGAGGTAGCAAAAAACTCATTATTGTTGTTAGTTACACTGCATATATTTTGTGTTAATTGTACAATGCCATTACCCAATGTTGGCCCTAGATACCTCTGGTCTTGGGAGGGGTGGACTGGATACAGAACCAACCTTTTTTTTTTTTGTTTACTTTTTGCACAAAGTGGCCTCTCTCAAACTCAACACTTTGTTCTTGTACTTGTATATTCTATCTTACTCCTATCCATCTTAAGACCTTTTGATTCTAAATCATCTCTCCATATTTTGAGCTTTGTACTTAACATTGCTTTGGTTTCATTAGTTTGTATTGTGTGATTAGCAAACAACATACACCATGGGGCTATCTTAGGTAATTTTTATTATCAAATCATCTATGAATAATGCACACAAAATGGTGGCTAAGAGTTGGCCCTTTGTGCAAAAAGGTTCTTTTGTATAGATGTTTTGACAGTAGTCACTGGACCATCACGTATATCATTAAGTACAATGCCATTACCCAATGTTGGTCCTAGTTACCTCTGGTCTTGGGAGAGGTGGACTGGATACAGAACCAATTTTTTTTTGTTTACTTTTTGCACAAAGTAGCCTCTGTCAGACTCAATACCTTGTTCTTGTGCTTGTATATTCTATCTTACTCCTATCTATCTTATTTTGAGCTTTGTACTTAACATTGCTTTGGTTTCATTAGTTCGTATTGTGTGATTAGCCAACAACGTACACCATTGGACCATCTTAGGTAATTTTTATATCAACTCATCTACGAATAATGCACACAAAATGGGGGCTATGAAAGGTTCTTTTGTATAGATGGTTTGACAGTAGTCACTGGACCATCTTACATATCATTAAGTAGGTCAACTTAACTAATTGGAGCTCCTATTTCCTCCCAAATCCCACTTTCAAGGAGCCATATGATATGCTTTTTCTCTATATAAATTAAACACACACACACATATATATTATTTATATGATTCATGTTATGTGTCAAACCGTTTGAACCACAACCTGGCAAACATTCTAGTTATGTGTCTGGTCCAAGTCTTACAACACTAGGTTTTCTAGTAAGCTTATTCCATGTCATAGTCTATGCTTGAAGCTAGCTTATCCAACATCATCATCATCATCATCATCTAAGCCAACATCTGAATTATATAGGGTCTCAGCCACATGAATACTGTTTTGCAATTCCGTCCTGTTCAATACCATATCCGTTGTTAAACTGTGGGCCCTTAAATCATCTCTCACTACTTCAACCCATTTCCTTTTTGGCCTGGTCCTAGCTCTTCAAGCCCCTTCAACTTGTAAAAGGTCACTTCCTCTTATTGGTGTTGTATACGGTCTTCTCTACACACGTCCAAACCATCTTAGTCTACTTTTACTCATTTTATCATCCATTGGAGCTACACCTAGGTTCTTCCATAAGCTTATCCAATATAGTTGGGGAAACTTTTTTAATACTATAATTGTGGTGTTCTTC